CTAGCTTAGCCCAGATGCTCACTCAGCCTTAGTTATGTTCTCTTTTCCTCTGCAGCCTCTGAACACATTGTTCATGCACCTCTTTGTGGCCGTGGACGAGTTTTCTACTGGCTGCTGCAAAGAGATAATTCAGTAAGTGGCTGGAGCCCTGCGGACGGTGACTTGGGGGCTTGGCAGCAGCACCATAGACGAGACACATTAGTGCCAAAATGACATGAAAGAGACCATGTGGATACAGTCATCCCTCGAGAGGGACTGGTTCTAGAACTTCTGCGGATACCTAAAGCTGCTGTGCTCAAGGCCCTTATATAAACTGGCACAGTATTTACATAAATTCTACACAATCCTCCTGTATACTTTAAATCAGCGGTCGCCAGCCATTCGGACCTCACAGGCCACCAGTGGTCCACGGACCACTGGTTGGCGACGGCTGCTTTAAATCATCTCTATGTTACTTATAATACCTAATACAATGGAAATGCTTATGTGACTATTGTTATACTATATTGCTTAGGGAGTAATGACAAGGAAAAAAAAGTCTGTACATGTTCAGTACAGATGCAACCATTGTAGGCCTAACTGCATAGTACACGTCAGCAGCAATGTAGCATTTTTAAAAAAATATTTTTGATCTGTGGTTGATTGAATCCACAGCTGTAGAACCTGTGGATATGGAGGGCCTGTAGTTTCAAAGTATCTTTCAAGGACATGACACTCTCTGAGGTGTAGCATTTATGGAATAGCAGTGATATTGCTGAAAGAAAACCACAGGTTAGGACAGTGATGGCGAATCTTTTGAGCTCGGCGTGTCAGCATTTTGAAAAACCCTAACTTAACTCTGGTGCCGTGTCACATATAGAAATTTTTTGATATTTGCAACCATAGTAAAACAAAGAATTATATTTTTGATATTTCTTTTATATATTTAAATGCCATTTAACAAAGAAAAATCAACCAAAAAATGAGTTCGCTTGTCACCTCTGACACGCGTGTCATAGGTTCGCCATCACTGGGTTAGGATGTTCCTAAAGTTTTCCTCAGTCCTATCGTTAGAAATGTTTATTAACATGACAGACTGTAGAAGCATCCTGAATAATAGGACATGCTGAAATATGATCAGTGGGGCTCCCGGGTGACGTGACGTGTCGCCGACAGCCTGCACAGACATTGGGAGCGGGGCTCAGCTTTCAAGTCACAGTTGAAATGCCACACCAGACCTTCCAGATGCCAGGTCAAAGGTTAATATTCGCAGAAATCTGGTGCGCTGCGTGAACGTGGCAGCCTTTATTCTTTCTACCTCCATGGAGCAGAGAGAAAAGGGCTTGGGAGCCCAAGGAAAAGTAGAGAAGAAGAAGAAACTACCTGGAAGATGTTCTTGCCTTGGCAGGCAGGGAGCAAAGGAGGGCAGAGAGAGGTTGGAACACCTCATCCGTTTAGTGAAGGCATTTGTCTCAATCAGGTGCCAGCTGAGGGGATTGCTTGGTTACTAACACTCACCCGCCCTCTCTTTCCCTGGCCAGGTCTGTGTTTAAGGCGGTGCCAGAGCTGCACTTCATCTTTCTCATCGTGCCGGCCTACATGAGCCTCGGTAAGGTCTGCTCGACTACCTCAGCCCCGGTCGGGAACAGGAAATTCATGTTTGAATGGGGCCGTGGTGAATGGGAAATAAGGGTGATCTCCAGGTCCACAATGTACACCATGCCTCTATGCCTATAGCACTTAAAACACCGTTGAGAATGGGAACTACACTGTGTTTGGAAGTTCTAGTTATTCCCTGGTAAAACGAGGCCACATTTCTCTGTCTCTTGTGATTCAGGCACAACTCTGATAACTGTGTTTGACCAAGTGGGGAGCATTCCGAATCTGACCTTTAACGAGGACTTTGCTGTACACATATGTCACAGGCACAGCCATTACCCTCAGCTGCACGTTCGCAAAGCCAGGTAAGGCGGGAGCAGTGCCTTTGGTCACCTAAGCTTTACCCTAACAGTTCCCTTGGGAAGAGTTTTTAAATTGTCAGTTTTACTGTAAGAAGGTACAGCTTGGATTAAATTGTTTTGGAATACCCATGAGCATGACTTCATTTGAAGATGTCCACAGTGCCTCTTGATGACATATTTGTGGAACTAAATGTCTGATGAGACTCATTTGGTGCTATGTGGCCGGCAAAGTTGTAGATTTACTACTTATGGGTTTCTGAAAACACATAGTTTTTTTTGTCCCATGCTGAGTGAAATCACTTTAAAATAAAACAAATCTAAAAATGAATCTGCCTAAAAATAAATACATAAATAAATTAAATTAAAATAAATAAAAATGAATCTACCTATTTGGTTTTCCTAGTAGAGCCCACTTATTTTCTGGCATTCAGTGGATGACGATTCTGTTGACCCCAAAGAGGGGTGTCTTAAGTCGAAGGTCTGTATCATGAGTGGCCCACAAGACATGCCCCCAAGCTCAGCAATCTTAAGGAGAGGGCTATGCCCGAGTCTGTTTGCCAAGGAGGCCTGCAACCCCATCTCCCATCCTGCAAGTGCTCCTGCACTGTGGCCTTACCGTCCTCTCATCAAGAGGTGGGGTCTGTGGCCCTCTTTATCTGGGTCAGATTGTGACTTTTTTTTTTTTTAATCCTCACCCGAGGATATTTTTCCATTGATTTTTAGGGAGAGTGGAAGAGAGAGGGAACGATAGAGAGAAATATCGATGTCAGAACACATCAATAAGAGAGAGGGAAAGATAGAAACACATCAATTGGTTGCCTCCTACACACATCCTGACCAGGGCCCGGGCTGGGGAGAAGCCTGCAACTGAGGTATGTGCCCTTGACCGGAATCAAACCCAGGACCCTTCGGTCTGCATGCTGGCGCTCTATCCACTGAGCCTAACCGGCTAGGGCCAGATTGTGACTTTTTCAACCCATACAGCATGGTGGAAGGGAGGCTCTGTGATTTCTGAGGCTAGGTCTCTTGGGAGTTCTCTTGGGACTCTCATTCTGGAGGGAATGGGGTGTAGACGTCCGACGGCCCTGAGACCAACATGCCGGAAAGGCCACATGCTGCCCTGGGGCCAGTGGGCTGACAGCCATGTGAGGAAGCCAGCAAGGACATCCAGGCAAAGAGAGCCCCCCTGCATCTGCAGCGCAGCCAACATGTGATGGTGGAGCCCTGAGAGACCCAAGGAAGGACTGCCCGGCTGTGTCCCCTCAGAGTTTTGACTCACAAAGTTGTGAGCAAAATAGAAGGGCTGCTTTGAGATGAGAGTGCATATGAAACCATTTCACAAGAGTGGTTGCTTGGCTTTTATCAGTGAAGAATAAATTGGATCTTCTCAGGTCAGCTGTTGTCATACTTGATAAGTGCTCCATTTCTGTAGAAAGTATTGAATTAAAATCTTAAAAACCTGGGACCTACTATTTACCAGGCATGTAGTATTACAGCATAATTGTTAAGACTCTGTAATAATGATGTGAGGTAGATATAGATTCTGATCTTGGTTCTGATACTAACTGATGGGTTCACTTAAAAAAGGAACCGGCCTCCCCAGGCCTCAATTTCCTCTCTGTCAGTGGGTGCAAGCATAGTGCCCACTGGGTTGACTGGGTGAGCTGATGAAAATCAGTTCCTTAGCACACTTCCAATCACCTGTAAATGCTTAAGGAAATTAAATATTGTTATTATTATTACTATTATAATTATGTGCTACCTATTTGGTTTTCCTAGTAGAGCCCACTTATTTTCTGGCATTCAGTGGATGACGATTCTGTTGACCCCAAAGAGGGGTGTCTTAAGTCGAAGGTCTGTATCATGAGTGGCCCACAAGACATGCCCCCAAGCTCAGCAATCTTAAGGAGAGGGCTATGCCCGAGTCTGTTTGCCAAGGAGGGCTGCAACCCCATCTCCCATCCTGCAAGTGCTCCTGCACTGTGGCCTTACCGTCCTCTCATCAAGAGGTGGGGTCTGTGGCCCTCTTTATCTGGGCCAGATTGTGACTTTTTTTTTTTTTAATCCTCACCCGAGGATATTTTTCCATTGATTTTTAGGGAGAGTGGAAGAGAGAGGGAACGATAGAGAGAAATATCGATGTCAGAGAAACACATCAATTGGTTGCCTCCTACACACATCCTGACCAGGGCCTGGGCTGGGGAGAAGCCTGCAACTGAGGTATGTGCCCTTGACCGGAATCAAACCCAGGACCCTTCGGTCTGCATGCTGGCGCTCTATCCACTGAGCCTAACCGGCTAGGGCCAGATTGTGACTTTTTCAACCCATACAGCATGGTGGAAGGGAGGCTCTGTGATTTCTGAGGCTAGGTCTCTTGGGAGTTCTCTTGGGACTCTCATTCTGGAGGGAATGGGGTGTAGACGTCCGACGGCCCTGAGACCAACATGCCGGAAAGGCCACATGCTGCCCTGGGGCCAGTGGGCTGACAGCCATGTGAGGAAGCCAGCAAGGACATCCAGGCAAAGAGAGCCCCCCTGCATCTGCAGCGCAGCCAACATGTGATGGTGGAGCCCTGAGAGACCCAAGGAAGGACTGCCCGGCTGTGTCCCCTCAGAGTTTTGACTCACAAAGTTGTGAGCAAAATAGAAGGGCTGCTTTGAGATGAGAGTGCATATGAAACCATTTCACTAGAGTGGTTGCTTGGCTTTTATCAGTGAAGAATAAATTGGATCTTCTCAGGTCAGCTGTTGTCATACTTGATAAGTGCTCCATTTCTGTAGAAAGTATTGAATTTGAAATCTTAAAAACCTGGGACCTACTATTTACCAGGCATGTAGTATTACAGCATAATTGTTAAGACTCTGTAATAATGATGTGAGGTAGATATAGATTCTGATCTTGGTTCTGATACTAACTGATGGGTTCACTTAAAAAAGGAACTGGCCTCTGAATCTGGTCAGGAAGGTTGAGTCAGAGTTCAGTCAGAGTGACAGAATGAGCAAAGGCATGGAGACAGGAAAGCGCACGGTCTATTACCAGGCAGGTTGGCAGGTACAGCTACTGTTCAATGTATGGGGAGAAAGAGCAGGTTCTGGATAGAAGTACTATAATGGGAAGGCTTTATCTTGGAGCCAGCAGGGAGCACTGAAGAAGAAAGGCATGATATGCTCTCTATGTTACTAGGTAACTGCTTTCCATGTGGTCAGTGGCTTATAGAGGAGGAGCACAGAGCAGCCGGCTGGAATTTAGGCCTTGACAAGTCAAAGAAATCCGGGTGGTGGTGGGGGAATAGATCAGTAAAAATGCAATTTGGATGGAGAAGTTCAAGAATGAAAATGAGTTAATGATAACTCAGGGTTTCGGGGAGCTGCTGTCAGGTTTCATTAGCTGAAAGTAGAAATAATAGCATTAGATGGACAGGAGGGAGTTGGAAATACAGGTCCTCTCATGAGTGAGGATATCATGAGAGAAAAGGAGATTGTCCAGTTGAGGGGGAGATTTTAAAGTGAAAAGTGCAGGATATTGAAAGATGAAAATGAACTGCTACTGATAATAAGAAAGAAAACTGGAAGAGAGGGGAAGGAGTGTGGCAGAAGTCAGACTCTTGAAGTGGCAAACAGTGAAGGGCAATTAAATCATTTGAGTATAAAAGAGAGGCCATTGGATTTGGAAATTTAAAAAGACACAGATGAGTTGAGTAAAAGTGATGGATTTCTAGCCAGACTGATCAAGGAAAAGAAAAAGAAGACAAACCATCAATACCAAGAATAAAAGAGGGGACACCACTCCAGGCTCCACAGACATTAAAGGGTTGGGGAGCGCTGCAACAACTGTATAACTTCAACAATTTAGAGAAAATGGGCTAAATCCTTGAAAAACACCAACTACCAAAACTCATTTAAGATAAATTAATAACTTGGATAATTCCATATCTATTAAAGAGAAGTCAGGTGAACTTGGGATGAGAGAGAGGGTGGCTGCCTGCCTGACACTGGCCTCTCCCCCAGACTGCAGCCCCAACCCCACCTCATCCTAATTTGCTTCTCTTTTTGTCTTATTCTTATGGCTCTGAACTCTGCCTTCCCCAAGGTCTTCCTTCCAAGCTCATCCCCTTGGCTCCTCTGTGCCAGCCTTGCCCACTCAGTGCCCTACTTCTGACCACTTACTTGGTTTGGGGACTCGTCTTGCCCCTCCCCGAAGGGCAGGGTTGGATACTGTTAATTGAATGTCAATGAGCTGAATAGAGGTAAGAAAGTTAAGACAAGGTCATGCTCACTGCTCTTTAGAGAAGTTTGGTGATGAAGGGAAGCAAAAGGAGGGAGGCAGATGTTGAACGTTTTGCACACAATGTAAAGTGATTCCATTTTTACTCTTCCTGTAAAGCATTTACTTTGCATTCTGAGATCCAGACAGCATGTGTCTAAAATAAGATTACCGAGGAGAATAAGTTCAGATACAAGTTAATCACTTAATTTAGAACAAGAAGAAAATTCCTCGTAGAAAATTATTTTTCTTTCTCATTCATAGCTAGTTACTCACATTGTAATTCTCTCTTTATAAAATCCTTCGGGTTAGGATATAAATGCTAATTAATACAAGCCAAACACATTCTGAAGAAAAGGAATTTTGTGAGTGAAATAACATTTTTAATTGGTTTGCTCACACCTTACAAATCCTCCTTTCTGATCTATGAAGTTTCTCTTGTTAGTGTCAGCACAGGTAAATTAGACCCTCCTGCCCTTCAGGAAAGTATAATTTAAGAACATATGATCATGGGGGTAGGGAAGGACGCACCAGGAAAGGATTATGTGCTGTCAGTCAGCATTGTAAATACAGTGGTCCCCTCCCCTTATCCCCGGGGCATACAGTCCAAGACAAAACCCCCTGCCTAAGACCGTGATAGTACAAAATTCTATACTATGTTTTCCTATACATACATACCTATTGTGAAGTTTAATTTATAGAGTAGGCAAGTAAGAGATGACAACAGTAACATAATGAAA